TGAGAGAGTGACAGAGGAATTATCCTGGTAGGTAGTTCTTTCTCACTTTAGGTAATTGACAATAGGGATCTCAAGTAATTTTTTGGGAAAAAGTTTTAGCTAACGGAAAACTATTATCCTGGCCATATCCGCATACGTGAGGTAAACCGATTGAAGACACTACTAATATAGAGTCAAGATGGCACAGAAGCTTTAGCAAACGTCTATTCATGTGGGGTCAGCAAAAGATAGCAGCGGAGAGGCCAAATTGAAAAGCAGATTTTCTGAACCGGACAGGGTGATTATCAACAGGGAAAGTTCTGAGAAGCGCACAGAAAGGGATGCACAGAAAAAAGAAGACTGTTACTATTTATGTGAGTGAAAATTTAACGGGACGGCAGACATTGAGATTAGTGAAAAGGTAATAATTGACTAAAATGTAATCATTCGTAATAGAGCGTCTTCTAACCTTCGTTTCATGCAGGTGCACGGCTGTCTGTGTTGTTGTTATCTTATCCAGCGTCTGTAAAGTCAGCCAACTCTGCAACAGATCTTCATGTCAAACTGCTATTTACTGCAAAAAGCTACAGAATTTAACCCATTCTATGTTCACACAAGACTCTACACACGCGCATAGATCAGTAGTAACAGCAGCTGGAGGTTACTATGGCGGTTTTGCTGCTATTAATGTTGGTAACTAGGGCGTAAGTCGAAACTCAGTCTAGAAAAGAGCGCTAGTGTTTTCTTTTTTTTTTCAAATCGCAGATGAATCTTACTTCGCCGTTCTACGTAGATAGCTCGGTCGGTAGATAGATCAGTCAAGATTTGTGCACTACAGCGTTTGGGTTGGGCCGGGCAAAAATCTTATCACGCAAATGAAACGAAATAGATCTAACAACATTCCGCATTATACTGCCTTGCTAGTCTCTAGCCCCGTGTGCCATGCCCTGTTACCGTCACTCGAACAAAGAATAGCCAAAAACCTTTCAGAATATGACCGGGAAAAGGGACAGCTGAGGGGCATTAAGCTTGAATTCGAAGTGTGTATAGGTGTGTGTGTTGACGCAGAATTTCATTGTTACTGCGATAATCTTTAAGCAAGCGGAAAAGACATTCGGCAGCCATTGCGGACTGGAAGAGTAAACCATTACCGCTCCTCCTTGGTTTGCTCACAAACGAATGCACTTTACGCTAATTTAACAGACCTTGCCTCGATGTAGCTCTTGCAGTAAGTGGCATTCGCTTCCGATAAAATATCGCAGATGCTCGTACCTGATCTCAACAGGGACGCCCTACAAGGCCTAAATATCAAGTTCTTAATTCTGAAGGTAGGAGCTGAAAGTACGAAGAAAGAAAGAAAGCTGACCTTGTTTAGGTCTTACATGAACAAAAAAAAAAACTAGGCGCATTCAAAATGCACGAAGTCCACAAAGAGTGCCCTTCAACAAATCAAATAACAACTTTCATTGACAATATAAAAATCTACTCCTTAAGAGTATAATAAAATGGTTGCCGGCTTTTGGAACACGGTACCGTACGTTAAGCGGCCATTCTCGTAGATGTCAGTACATTGTAATAAGGGCTCCACAAGAGCTTGGCAATGGCAGGTGCTGCCCTAGCCCTCAGTTTCTGATAGCAGTGTTAGCCAGCCTACAACTATGTATGCGACATAGGAAGAGGGCGTACGTCGAAGATGAAAATGGTACCTATCTAGGCAGCAGGAATCACGACGTCACTGCCGTATGTTATACTGTCAAGTATTCCTGACGAACGTATCCCAGCGTTAGGAATAATGCTATTAAGTTTATATCTACTATATAGCTAGCTTTTGTTGCAGCTTGCAAGGCCGAATTGACGAAAAATCAAACCGAGTAATCCGTAGTGAATCCTCTGAAAAACTAAATGAAGTGACTAAATATGAACGTTAACTCCGTTATGGATCAAGCGGCCTAGTCTTAACTAATTCAGCCTGAAATTTACAGCCACCTCATGGAAGCTTCAGGGAGTACAGGGCATTTTTTACTTGCGCAATAACATTGGGATCACTGCCCTATATATACACATGGCTTGTACAAGCAGTATATGGCAAATCATATATTTCGATGCCAAAATGAAAAAAAAAATAAAAAAGAAATACAATTTCTTTGTTATATTCTTGTTGCGCATATTCGCGCATTGTTAAATCAGAAGCGATGCACGAAGGGCTAATAGCTTCTTAATTATGGCGCTACAGAGGAGACAGAAGTGGCACGCAGCAGAAGAACCGCCGAATATGTATGTACATACAAAGCATTACAAATACCTGCGCGTGCCTCCTTTCATACGCGCCGCTACCACAAACAAATCCTTTCCGGTTTGCCGATCGTTAACCGCCATATCATTCGCCCTCCTCTGAAGTTAAATCGTCATTCTTCCACACTCGTTTAGGCACCTAGAATGCTTGCACGCCATCTTTCTGTGTCGTAGGGCTATTGTCAGAGGCCTGCTTTGCCTGCCACAATAGTTGCTACGGGGCCTTACTGTACAGCGCAGTCCTACAAGGAGGCGACGTACTGATAGAAGAAGCATATGTAAAATAAGAAACGGAATATCTTGTTCACCCAGTTGCGCGGTGCTTGACGCTTTCCTTTTTGCATTTTATCCTATTCCGTTCTTCACCTTTGTCCCTTCTTTCCGCTGGAGTAGATCAGATCAGATCAATTCGTTCTGCCATTATTCTTTTCCCAAGTGAACGTTAGTTCACGATATAGTATATTTCTTGTTGGATGATGGTTGCCTTCCGCCTTGGGCTGGCTCGTCAAACACTGGACAGTATTACCTGGGCCGGATCCATCCGTCTAAAATCTAAGGACAACACCAGGTCTTGCCGTGGGCTTGCTCCAAGAGGTTTGTGTCCCGTATAAAAAAAAGTTGCATCATTCTATTTTTATATAACAATTATCATACAGAAAGGTAATAAATGCCGAAAACCTCGAACTCCAAACTAGTGCGCTTTTTTGCGGCGCTCGCATCAGGAGGATTATTATGCATATGCATAGTAGTAAAGTTGGAAGGAACTTAGCGTCAAACTAATACGAATGGTAGTAAGGCTGTAAAGTAAAGTAAAGCAAGAGTTATGTTGCTGGTCTAAGACTCTCTCTGGCCGTGAAGGGACAAGAAGACCTTTCGATTGGTTTTTGGGCCCAGTTCAGATGTGCCCTTTTCATAGGCACAGTTTCAAAGCTCAAATATCATTTGACTAGAAGATGTGTGCATTCGTTTAAAGTAAAGCGTTATTTGAAGTAACGAGAGAAAGTGCCATATCGACTAAGGTCGTTCAAACCTCTAACTTGTTACTATTGTTATTACTAAGCACTGTAGTCGAAGGAGGAGTGAATTTTTACAGCCACCAGTTAGGGGCATCTTCGCGGAAGCAAATTTGCTACGGTGGTTACATAAATAGCTTAGCGTTTGAGGTTGGACGGTTAAAAGTTCACCATAAACGTAAAATGCGTTTGTGGTAAGCCATTAAGACGAAGTTATCAACTTAGTCGTGCTGGCGCCTCGCCAATAAGACTTAGAATATTTTTCGATGGGGCATTCAGATAACCGAATTTCGAAACCTATAGTACACTGTGAGCTGGAATATCTTCTCGAATGTTCACAGCAAGCGATTGCATATGAAACAGCTCCGGGTGCAAATGGCAACCTATTGCATCTACTTGCTCACTTGGGCTCATTTCATTATTTTTTGGATGTTTCGATCTGCCTATTCGCAGTTGGTCGTCTCACCGGTAGATAGAACTGTCCGATATCTACTTTAACAAAGCTGCACCCTTTTACCGTAGGCATATTTCGCCTGACTAGAGGCCATCAGTATCAACATCATCGCACAAAAACTGTCTATACGGCATACACCATGCAAAAACCCTTTCTGCCTTTAAGTGCGAAGATTCTGTACCTTTCGATCACAAACATGGGAATATTGCTTCATACAGTCCCATTGCTCACTTGTTAAGCGTTCATAAATACATTTCGCACAGTATCCCTATATAAATAAGGTCAGTTGTTTTATAGCTTTTTTAGAAAGATACACGTGCATGTCTAAATCGTTAATATGCTCGGATATGCTAGTATGCCTAGCGTTCGACTCGTGCTGCACGTCGTACATTTCGATTGTACCGTCAGAACTTCGATTTTCCCAACTTAGCTTGCAGAGCTGTGTCTTCCATGACGTTAGCAGCTCTTAAATGCTCGTCTCGATCTACCGTACGGTTCGTAGAAGAAGACATTTCCTATAGCTGTATACAACAAGCACTCGATAGCTTACTGAATACGTAGCGTGCTTATTAAATGATCTACTTTATAGTGATATTTAATTGTACTTATAACAGCGAGTCGATTGACCGTCCCCCCAGACGACGCAATCGTTTCTATTTGTTTTTTTTACTAGCGCTAACGCAGAGGATGATTTCGAGGACAGCCGCAGCAGTTTTCTTTAGCACAACCTGTCTGATCGGGCGCGTGCCGATTGGGTCCGAGACTACGGGTTCTGATGGCCAATTCCCACTGTCATCAGGCTGAATGTCCCTACAAAGTGAAACTTAACGGTAGATCCCGACGATTTCTGTATTAAATATGATAAACAAATATTCGCCGTCAGGACGATAGCCGGCGCGATTTGAAAACATAAAAAAGTGTAGGTTGCAATGAAAATTGCAACATAACAAAGGAGATCGAGGACGACAAAAACTTCATCCTTAAGGTACCCAAATAGCACCAATGCATTGAAAGGCGCAACGGAATGAATTGCAGACGAAGGCCAATGGGCAAATACGCAAAGATCGCTTCAACGGATCAGCAGTAAATAGGTGGCTAACTGATAATCCTTTACCCTAAATTCTCAACTGAGCTATATTGGCTGCATCGTACACTTGAATATGCATTGCACGCTGCTCCTTGTATACGGCTTCTGCTTATTCGCTGTTTCGTAACTATGGCTTATCATTTTTATCATTGCTAGTGGGTTTTAGTCTACTAACCTGTGTGCTACGCCATCGGGATGGATGTGCTTTATGTAGAAATGCGTGTCGCCGTCCTCGCCGGTCAAAGGAACGATGGTTAGGCCAAGGCCTCCAAAGCCAGGCTGTTGTCCATCGCCAATCGAAGCTAGTGGAGCAGCCATCAATTCAACCGCTAGAAAGCGCTCCCCAGATCCTTCATCAAAACTCTAAAAAAAACACGTTAAACGCAAAATTCAAGTGTTTCAGTAAGACAGTAAGAATAATATTCAATAAGCGCTAGCATAAACAATTCAACTGCACTCAACAATTCTCCAAGAATAATCAAGTTTATTCCTTTTCTTATTTCTCCTTCCTTTTATAGGTGCGATTTTACTACCCCATGTCTCTTTGAACGGGTTAAGACTCAACTCAAAGCCATTTTGCTATTAGCGGCCCGTACGAAACGGTTGACTTCTGTCAAGAATGATTTTCCATGCCCATACATCGTGACTTAGATAAAAACATATGAAACCGCGTGCACATTGCGATATGATGAGACAAGCCTAAAGCACTTTCTACGATCAAAATGACACCGTTCTCTCTCCAAAGGACGGCAGGACCCAAGCGTAATATTGTCCTATCCGACCAACACTTAATACCGCACTTATAGATCTCCTCTTCGATGCTCCGCTCTGGGAAGCCATTGTCGCAGAAGCAACGACAACAACATGTTGTGTCGTTATTATACCTGCAAAAATCTACCGTGAATAGACTTGATGATATGAAAGTTAACGCCTGTCTCTTTTCCTACCTGAAGACCACTATAATTGGCACCCTGTTGTTGTCCGTGCAGGACGTCTCCCCGACCATGATGATGATGATGGTGAGACTGATGATGTGAGTGTGAATGTTGTTGGTGATGCAGCGATGGCTGTGAATGAGGGCGGCTGCCGCTTAAACGGTGCCCCACGGATGTGCCCCCGCCCACCACTGATGCTGGCCCATTACTACTGGCCGCACCCAATGGATTGTTGTTGCTTGAGCCATTCTGGGTGTTATCCTCGGTATCGCAGCGATAGTCGAGGGTGCCGTCACGTGCAATGTCGAAGTCTCGCGGAAGAATCGAGGGATGCTTGTGCACCAGCACCTTCAGGTCATCCAGCGAGTTCTGGGTGGAAATATGAAGCAGGAATCCGAAAAAAAAAATAGCTATTGATGGCCTGCGGAGGAAATAATACGGGAGTGACGATTATGCACGAAATGCGTAGAAAAAAAATGTGTAGGATGTGAATTTGGAAAAAATCAGCTCGGACATGCACCGTTTCCTATGGTAATGGAACCATTTATAATTTTTCTTTTAATCATTCCTTTCAAAAATGATTTAAAAAATCACTCCTTTCAAAAATCATGCTGAATCAAATAACCTCAAACAGTAAACCACTAGTTTCAATTACATTTATCGATTGAGATACCCGACCCAGAAACGGCTGGCTCAAGAGGCTTAAAAGCTTCGTGAGCTGTATAAAAAAAGAAAAAAATTTGTTGCAATCCGCTTTTTAGTTTAACCAGATCCTTACAATTTTTTGGTTCTGGGTATCACTAAAAACAGGTCAGCAATCCTGCGTATGAGGAATGACCGTCCAAAGTAACTCTTCTTCTTAGAGTTGTGTCACAAGCGTTCCAACATAACAAAATCACCAAGGCAAGACATATTTATTCTAGAGATATACATGAGCTTCGTATCCGCAGGCTTTAGTGGGTGCAACGATTGTAGACTGCTTCTGCCGCCGCCAGCGCACTGTTTACCTTGATTTGTAAAACAGTTCTGAGAAGCGGGTCGTCCAAAACTGTGAGTAGTAGTTGGATATCCTTGTGAGCAGGGTGACCGCGTTGTAGTTGACGCGAAAGGCGTCGTAGGACCTCCGAGGAGTCCGCCGTATCTGTATCAATAAATACACAAACCGTCATTTATTAAACACATCAACACGTCTACAGTATTTTATAAATGCTCTGAAAGTTTATTCTAACACGAAGGACAAACACGCTAAATTTCGGAAAAAATAGCTCTTAAATAGCCATTGGCGTTCTTAGAATATTCGCTTACCGTGAACGATAGGCTAAATCTTAACTGAGCGTAAGCAACTTACTTAATGGTACTACTTTAGTTGAAAAAATTGATTTGTTCCTATAACTCGGCCAAGCCTACGACCACTTCGATGTCAACCATCAACCCTGGCCATCGTTTTTACACAGGAATATTGTATATTCTTGCTAAGCGATGTACCATCAAGCGTGCGTAACAAACGCAAGTAACTGTATTGAGACGGGTTCAGAAAATACGAGCCAAGCTAGGAAAAAGACCATACCCTAATTATAGCACAATATAACTTAGAGGTTTCGATAGTATCAGACGTTGCGAGTTTAGCGGATTGTTGAAATCTATTAGATTTCGGTTGGTGTATTTCTACATAAATTTTCATAGTAATGCCCATCTGTATGTCCAGTTACTTAGTCTCGTAGGCGCAAATGGTGAACTACTTGATCTTACATATGTATATGTCTGAATATACGGGTTATTAGATTCTCGCACAAGATGGACCGGGTAGGTGAAACGTTAATTTTACTTTCGGGAACCTTAACAGGCCTATAGTCATACATACAAGTGTCTTGCGGATGCAATTCTCAAGTAAGTAAGATGAAAACTACTCTGAGGTTTAAGTATACTCGACCTTATCACCCTATAAAATTTTGCTCCAATATAACTAGGCTCTGTGTCATCAAAATTGTCTGAGTAACGAGCATAAGAAGGTAGCGTCACTGTCGCGGAAGTCCACATCAATCAACAACATCGACTCCAGCGAGCAAAACATTGCCGCGCTCGTGTGTTCCCCCTTGAGTAGATTGTAAATCTACTCAAGAAGGAACCCACCAAGATATGATCGTATACGATGGCAGGCACGAATCGTCGAATAAATCAAAACTTTTCAGGCCTTTAATGCAGCATGCGCCCACTGATTTCTCAACTCATTCATCATCTTCACTTGGGCCGCAGGGCGTTTGCGAATTTATGAGGTTATATCCAAAAGCGCACGATACTATATCTTTGTACATTATATACGTCCAGCATGGATGAGAATAAAAAAATAGTAATTCTGCTTAGGTTAGGGATCAAATGCGTACAATGATGTATTACGGCACACTGTTCATTGTCAAAGCTATCCAGTTTCTCAGCCACTGTCACAGCCGCAATTTACAAGGAAATTTATGGCTAAAAAATGGCTATGGATTCCAATTTTCTAGCTTATCGCTTCTGAATACTCATCCATATCCCCCACATACGTTTTATTATTATTAGAACACATACAGGCATGATTGCATTGAGTAATCCATGGGAACTTTTCCATATTGTCAAATCGAATAATTTGCCAGCGTCTCAGTATAACGAGCTTTCCTTATACAGTCATCGAGAAATATCGATGAGTTTCTCAGATCTTGGCTTAGAAAACGGCAGTGTAAATTCGAGTTATATTTACAACTAAATCGGTACTAGAACACGTTGCTTGTTGCCTTAACACTGGACGTTTGTTTAATTAAATAAGAACGACACTTTGAACTTGTACAAACGATGAACCGCAGAAAGGCCACGCCGGAAGCTTGGGATCTCCAGTTTCGTTTACGGCGGGGTACGTGCCGATCGATGTGGTCTCATATTAGTAGATTTTATTACTATTATCGCTGTCTGAACACATTTGGAAAAGCGGCAAAGAATACTTCAACTACGCACTCAAACGAACAAGCAGAGCTTGTGATCGCAGTATCCAGCCGCAACTGGGACTGTTGTTTATTTATTTATCTATTTAATGATCTATTTTTCACCATTTCCACATAGTGAGACGTTTTTAATACTAGTTTGGCATAGGGCAGCTCCCTGTAAGGATCGTGTGCTTTGCGAACTACTAAGGTTATGCTCTTTCTCGCGCGGACACGTGCACGCGTATGTAGAAGTAGCGTTGCGTTGACAATGTTCCATGTCAGATTCGAATGTGGGTAAAGACGCCGGCTCCAAGTTTAAACTTTTACTAAGTATGTGCTTATCATGAAGGGCAAGAAATCAAAAACTAAGGCTATAATACTGCTTGGTGAAAATATCGCCAATGAATAATCTAATATGGGCATATCGTGACTACTGAAAGTACTCGCGAGGTTAGCCGTTTGTGAAGCTTTATATATATTAGCAGAAAACCATTTCAATATGCGCTGATGAGGTGCCATCTGACAAACTTTCCATTTGACAAGTGCCTTCCCTTTGTACAACTGGAAGTTGATGATATTTTGCGTAACGCATTGAAATAAGTTTAAGTTAACAGTTAGTTTTGTGGGCTGGCGTGTTGCTGCGCCGGCCAATATTACTCATATTGGTTCGGTTCACTTTCGAAAGAAACCGCATTAATTGTACGGGCTACCCCGTGTCAATATAACAATCATCATTTGTATCGATCCTTTAAGCTGATTGATAAATCAACCATTGAACTTCTAATCCTAGATCGTCAGTTAGAATATCATTATATTCTAGGAAAAGACACCTTTGAAAAGAAAGCGCGCTTTCTTTGAGAGCACTTCGGTTCTTCTAGTAAATATTAGTGCTTTGTTACGGTAATCGCTCATAGTATACGAACCCTGTCAAACTAGACTAACTGGAAACCGAAAGTTTAGAAGCTGGTTCTTCTTTCTTAGTAAAGTATTGTTTCGGAAAAATTTCGGTCGAAACTTTCTTTGAACACCTAAATTACAACGGCTAGGCCATTCAAGCTTAAGCGGCATTATCTTATTATTATTATTATCTAGGCCTTAAGGCTTATGAACTCTGCAGAAGTAATTTAAAAGATCGTTCTAAACAAACTTAAGGTAACTTACAATAGTAAAGTGATAATTATAAGCATACATTTGAAATACATATGAAAATAGAACGGTTTATCGGAGCATCATTTTCCTTACCACTAAGCAGGGGTAGCATCATCTTAGACCTGCAAGGACAAAACGGAGTGAAAGTTATTATAACTTCTCTATATTGGTAGCGTTGTCGAAATAACACGAGTATTTGTGCTATACGAAATCATCATTATCTTCACTTCCCATCTCACAAATGACAGGATTATTCGGCACATATACAAAACATAACTACACTGTGACACGCGAACGCCTGCAGACGGTTTAAAAAATCTTTCATATAACACGTAGAAGTACGGTAGTTTGAACGATTGTTTTTATGAAATGAGTGTTTTGGGTCGATATAGGACGTGAAGAGTGAGGAAACGAGGTCACTATGATAAATTTCGAATGGAGCAGCAAACTTGAATTTCTTGGTCTATCTCTCTTTAAAATCCATGCGAACGATTGTTCCTTCTTCTTCTTCTTCTTCTAAATAATAAAAACATAACAATTCTATGTAGCTGTTCAAAGAGAAGATCCCCATAGGAATACTCGAATGCGGCTGGCCGCTTACAGAAATGCAAGCTACTATGTTGTTATGTGGTAACACGCATCTCTGGAAGATGATCTTGACTGCAACAGAAACGTTCTGCCGGCGTCTTCATACGGTCCTCTTTACGAATAACCGCGTGATAGAGAAAATGTTATTGTCAACGTTCATGCGACCAACGTCTGCCTACCGTAAAGCTTTGTCATGCCATCTATGATTCTATGGACAGACAATACCCTGCAATCCGAAATAGTGTATGTCACGACCGTGTAGACTGCGTTAGCATACGGCGTCTGCAGGCCCATGCAACGACAACCCACAACATAGCCATGCCTCTATTTCGAACAAATGGTTGATACTGCCATTATTAGGCACTACATCAGCGTAATCGGACGACTCACTCCCAATAGGAGTACCTAAATCGAACAAGAAGTTTGAATACCTTTCTAAAAATACGGGACGAAAAATCGGGCAGTGATTTTTAGTGCTTCGTTGTAGCTTTACTACTAAATAGTATTCATCGCTTAAAAATTTACCTATAGCATATTTTACATTCAAATATGTCACATGTATGCGGGCTTGTCTCTCTGCAGTGGGGAAGAATCGGGACTATAATAAAACAAAAAGCTCAGTGATCATCTAAATTATAAATAGAAAAAGTATCTAATTCACCTATAGCAGTTTATTTCAATGGGACAATCATCGACAACACGAAACCTCCACTTACGTTTATTCGAGGCGTCCTTGAAGAACCGAAGTGTTTATAAAGCTGAAAGCCTGCCTCCGCATCTAACCAGCGTCTTTTTCTTAATTGAGGGAGTTATATAAGGGTAGACTTGCATGTATAATGCACATCGGTAATGTACACTCTAGTTTTTCGTTATTTTATCAATTAATCAGTATAGGGAGTGAGTGGTAGCAAACGGATGCCGAGGTTCGTATGCAATATTGTCTCCGACTAGCGGACCCAACTGCGACTAAAACAATAAGATCGCGTCGTCGCTTGCTCAGGACGAACTCCTGAACCAGCTAGCTAAAGGAAACTGGCGATGGCGGATGAAAGACGACGGATGGATACTTTAGTGCTAATTGAATGGCTTCATACAAGTAACACAGTGAACCGATATCCAAGATTAGAGAGGGCACCTAATACCATGATTATGGCTGCTACAGCTTTCACTTTCGCGGCAATTTTCTGTCAGCAGACGACAATGGATAGTTATCGGAAACAAAACGAAAAAAAAAAAACAGTTACATACGAGTAACATCAAGCTATACGATAGAAACCGATAATATAGTCTAGACATTAATGGCCCGTCCTACTGCTGTTCTTCGGTTATCTATGCGTCGCCATATTGTTTTTACACCGAACGCCAACTGTCGTTCTTCTTTCGATTACTTGCAATGTGTTCGTTGCGGTTTTCCAATACTTCCAGACGCTTTAGTTCTAGCGGAGCTTTTGCTGCTCGCTGTAACCAAGACACTAGAAAAGAACAACCCCAGTAGAAAAACAATGTCGCAACTGTGAATACGCCGCGATCCTAGCTTACGTTGGCGATTTCCAATTAGTGGTAGAGCGATAAATTGCTTGTACAACGGTGGGAAAAGGAGTCTATATGACGATTGGTGGTAGTCTGCTGGCTCGACCCCCTGCCTCTAGCCAAACTGGGTCGTTGTACAGCCTAGCAATGAGCGCTAGTAATTTCAGCTGCGTTCATAGCTTAAGTGGCGAAGACAAAAAAAACGGATGCACCATCGATGCTGGTCATCGGACAACCACACCTGCTTTCAATGGATCATCGTCGATATACCGGCGACGATTAACGGCGACTAATGGAAGCTTAGAAGAAACGAAAAGAAATTGGTCGCAATAACGACACGTACGCTGATGACAGATGATTCATTTTTGGGTGTTGTGTGATCAACCATATCAATATCATATGGTGACAGATATCGGCATAAATTGTACGTACGCAGTACGTCAACTATAGGCGAGAACTAGTTATTGTTACTTGACCAACCCTGTTCGATTCACTGACTAGTTAGCTTGTACATCCAGCATTTTTTGTGCTTTTTGCGGTAACGTTTCGAATATTGGTACAGAATAGGGCTATCCACTGGGGTGCGATGATTCGATACGGAATCGACTAGAAGAATGTTTTGCTTGTTCTGTTTTACGGCGGACAGCTAGCTCGTTGTTACTGCTATCGATTCTGCGGCCATGATTATCTCGGAAAGGGGAGCAAACTTCTGCTATGACTGCTGTTATTGTTACGTCTTTTGCCGCTCGGCAAAGATGTCCGTATCAGTAGCTGCACTTCGTAAAATTAAATTGAGTGCCAGGTATGTTTCGTTGTGACCCGTCGAGTGCTCGTGTCTTGCTCGTTCGTATGGGTACTTTGCCCTGTCCTGCCGGTTGTATTTAATGTAAAATTGTAGGCGCCCCTCTTGACGGCTACTGCCCTTCCGGTCCTGGATTAGATCGAAAACAGACCTTTGTCACGATACGATGGTCGTTGCCAGTAATGACCGCATCAGTGGATTGAGAGGGACAGACATGTGTTATATCTGGTTATATTGTTGTTGTTGTTGTTGTTGTGGTGGTGGCCGATGCTGCTGTAATTACGACGATGACGCTGGTGGGAGCCACTGGCGAGAACCGTTAGGCGACGTCTCGGCGCTGGTGACCGGCGGCCGAGGGACTTCGATGCTGGTGACTGTTGCATCGATGAACGTGGACGCACCTGAGAAATGGTCGAGCCACTACAGTGGCTAGCTGCCCGGGGACCGCCAGGGCATTCACGCGGCCTCCCGGCGCCGCTCGCTCGCTAGCCAACTTCACTGAGTACCGCTTCGATACGCACCGCTTGTGAAGACCATTAGCAAGACAGCCCGGCCCAATAACGTCGAGATCTGAAGCCCAGCGAAACAAAAAAACAACACCTGATTTCGCTTCAACGAACGTCAGTGATAACACACGTAAATCGGTCACGTCTCCGGCTTCACCCAACACTGTAAATATGCTTCTTATGTGGAGCTAGGCGTCGCGGCACATTTTCCAGAGGCGATAAATCGCGGTTGTTGGTGGAAACCGGTTGGGCATTTCAAGGGCAAATGAATGTGAGGCACGCTGTCTTGGTTTGTACTTGTATGTAGCACTAATACCCACGCGGAAGCTCTCCGTGCAAGCATTTGAATTTATCAGCTGACGATTTCTTATAACGTACACTTATACAAATGAGTAGTTTCAAGCAGCGCCCTTGCTGCATTAATGTAGTATTTACCAAGAAATGTCGTAGAACAGGCTGCTTTAGTACCAGTTGGCGTGCAGGAAGCTGTTCAGCATTACTCTTCCTGACTTCAAATCTCTGCTATTATACAGAAACAGATACTGTTGTTAATGGTGCAATTCTAACGAAGGAAGGTGTCCACTGGCCAAACACTGCGTAATAGATCGTTCGGATAAACGCGTGCTTGCTGCTAAACTTCCCACAAAACGTGCTACACGACCATAATCTATTTGCAGCCACTATCACAGTGAATATTCCGTCGCAGGATGCTTCGTCGATTTGCCTCAAATAGAAATAAAACTCCAGTATTTGGCGTCACTGTCTGTCTTTTCGGACGGTATTTTGCACTGAACAAAACAAAAAAGGTTGGATCAAAACGATGACAGTAACCTACAAAAACCAATGTTCATTGTCCTGAGTGGGCCGTTGCTCGGCATTCTCCGTCAGCTTTGTATCACTGTCGCTGCCGCCCGCGAATAAATGAGTACGGGCAATCTCACTGTGTTCTCCTCGGTCTTACGACGGCGCATCTGCTACTAGGAGCTGCTACAGCCAGCTGCCGGGAATTCACGTAGCTAACGTGCAGACGGCTAGGAGCAGCAAGGAACCTGGAAGGAGCACGGTGATTGCGAGGCGAACGAGGTATACTGTGGCTCGCTCGCGTCCGCTGCATCGCCTGTCGGCTGCAATCCCAATTCCCCTATTTTCGTAATGGATTCTATTTGAAATCGGCGGTGGAACCAGTTTTGCTACAGTCACTAGCGGGACCAGCAAAAGCCAAAGTCACTCGGCACTGCCTATCACTTATAGTCCGTCTGTTTGATCGCCTGGCTGGCCACCTACTGTCGCAGCGCTTGATTAAACCACCGACAGGAACTTCCACCGATATCCATCGCCGATACAGCCATAACAAAATTGAGCAACTCTCCAACGAGCCACTACTCTGGCAGTGCCAGTTGGATGGACGTCGTGTATTCGACTACCCGGTCCTATAGTCTGTAGTCAAACATGCTGTGTGTATATGCTCGTGTGAATAGAAAAGAACAATCCAAAAACACTCTGGGCTGTGTGCTAGGCACCACACACGGGCTTATTCAAGTACATATACTGGAGTGGGAGGGGGGGAGAGTTTCTCTGCCTACTGGCGCCAGATCCGCTATTGTGGGAAAACACGAGCTACACACGACGACTGCCGTCACCGCCACACAGGTTACTGCCGCTCGCAGGTATCTATCGACCTCCGGAGGTGGCGGGGATCGCGGAACAGCATATGGCAGAAGTCAGCTGCCAGCACTAGCTTTGCTGGTGCTGTATGTACCGTGTAATAGCGCAACAATAGCTGATCTAGCGGCTGGCCATCGCTCTGTGCTCCAATCCCTGCAGCTACTGTATAGCAATGGGCGAGTGGAGTTTGTAGAGGCCGCGACGAGAGATTGGATTATACCGCTGGAGCCGACCGTATACCGTGAACGTCGATGTGATGAGCGGTAGAAGCCGACGTGGCAGCTGATAGGGGCAAAACTGTGCTGCATTCGTTATGGCACACGCCAACAACATAGCGAAAGCTGTTTTTCGCGCGTAGCGCAGACGTCGAGATGCTAACGAAATGAAAAAGCCAAAATATAGCAGAAGACGAATGGGAATAACAGAAGACATTACGACGACCACCTGTCACCCCTAAAGCTTTCTACTTTAGAGGAATAACAGGTAGTCATTAATCCATTAGCGCAAGGCCGACTCACGCAACTAGTATCGTTTTATTAATCCTTTATTTATATATATATTTCAGTATAAAAATAGTGTTTAAAAACTACTTTGACTTTACGCAAAGGTCAGCCCTTTTTCTAGATGACTTCCAGATAGCCTAAAAGTGTTTCAGACGAATTTGTTGCCTACCTATAGAAAATATATGCCCACACTGTGTTACTACATATATTTACTGGCGTCGTAGTAAAAAAAGTCGACACCCAATTAGATGCAAAACAATTTCACAATTAAGTACTATTCTGAAAGCCTATTGGTAGACGAGATTTATCGAGAAGTATCATTTTGAAGCAATCTGTAAAGCAGAGTGGCTATTTCAGGACCATTGGAGTTTCGCAACATGAATACTCGCTTTGATCTTTTGGCTAGTCTATGCCGCTAGTGCCAGGTTCTGTGGTAGAGAAAACATGCACTCACGCTTACGACACAAACACTCTAGCGTGGAACCGTTATACATTTGTTTAGACGAATACGCGGCAAAATTTAAATGGGTCTTGTTCCAGATTGCCTATAAGCGCTTAGTGTCAAATGTCACTTAGTAGTTTCCCCATTGGTTTTCGTGGCGAAATTTGCAGGAAAAACGTAGTGCCCGTGTTTATTTTGGCCGCCAAAACACAGTGTGAAAGGCAGTTTCTCATATATACGATGATTTAGAATCCATGATTCTCTGTCTTCCTCTAAAAACGCTTATATTTCTTATCTGCCTATAGAAACTATATGCCCACACTGTGTTACTGGCGTCGTAATAAAAAAGTCGACACCCAATTAGATGTAAAACATTTTTTTTTTACGTTTCTAATCTCGTATGTAGCATAAATTGTAATACCTAAATTTGATACGTGAATAAATTATACGAACTACTAGTCTCACACTGGAGCTAGAACTTTATATCTCGGTCAAGCAAATTCATAAAATATACTTGCTGGACCGTCCATCCTTAGTACCCAAACACAGCCAGCTGTTCTTCAATGGTCAGCTTAAATTTTGATTTTGCCGGAATCTTTTCTTGTGGCGTATTTGAGCGGTATTGCCTGCATTCATCATGTTATGGTGACGGTAGCGACCATTGACATTATCGATGTGGAAAAACGGAACAAAATGGTGTTTACAATGTGACACCTGTTGGGAGACTAATAACAATAAAATGTTAATGGTAGTTTTCCGGGTATTTTTCTTGCCGTTTTTATGTAAATGCTTACGTTGATTGTTAGTAACCTGGTTACATAACAGAATTTATTTTTTGCTATTGCTTTGAATCACTTTGCGAATTTAATAGATTTAGCCATTTTATCATAGCAACGGATTTCACAAAGGTGCCCAGTTATAAAAGTCAAAATACCTTTTTTTTTTTTTTTTTTTTCTAACTTCTAGCAACTTGAGCTAAACATCGTTCAACTTTCAACCTTACCTTCACGATTTCGCGCCGTCATTTATTTCTACGTCACGTTCTTAATTTTTAATCAATTTTAATTCATATTTTTCTTCTTTTCCCAGAGATTTTTTAATGACTAACTGTAATTGCAAATAACTGTAATAATAATTATAAGTGAAAATTGTAATAACTAAATCCTAACCTCTAGTAGTAGTTGCAAAGCGTCCCGTGGGTAGAATTGTTGAAGGACCAATCATTCGAGGTGAACTGGTAGCCTTTTTCTAGACTCTGGGCCTACATTTAACATAACGCAATGCTACAACCGATTCTACGTTTAATTACAATTAGAGGGCATGATTTCGAGGTAACACATTCTAGGCCCGCGCTTTCGTGCAAGCTCATCGCTGAGGGTAGGCCAAAGCCTTTGTACAATTTTCGGCCTTCGGACAGAGACTTCATTGTCTGAGCAACTACAACAGTTAAAAATAATTCAAACCTAGTGACTTGAAAAAAATTAACGCGGTATCAGGCGCCGATGTTTGCTCATTATCACATACGGCATAGCCCATTGAGACGAAGTCTATTCGGCCCTAATATCAACGACAACACAACATCGAGTGACACATTTAACACTATTCTAGATACATATATAGATATTTACAGTGTTTCTACAAGCGCAATGTATAAAAAATATGGTTAGAAGAAACATTTATTTGCAGCCTGCCTATGCGGTTAGCGTGAAGCTCCTGTGTACCATTTTTGTAAAATAGTCAAAGTTGTATTTCATCCCTGTTTTTATATGTGTACTTAATAGAAAAATGTATAATAGTCTTCAGTTGATATGTGAGTTATGAATCGCAACTTGGTTCGCCTGTACAGCAAGACGCTCATTAAATTTAGTATTGCGTACTGGTAGACCACACAATGCTCCAATTAAAAAAGCGTCGAGAAATTAATTATTAAGACGCTGAACTTCTGCCCCTTTTCTGCGTCTTCTATCTGGGTAGCTGTTGTTGTCAGGCCATACCCCATTTCCAAGACTGCACTTAATGATACCGTGAAAGAAAATTAAATAGTTCCCATTTGCGCTATTCTTCACGCAGAGCCTGAATTATTTAGGCTAGCATAAATGAGAGTAAATTAATACATTCTGACCATAGATTCAGTGCAATTAGTACTTGCCAGCGATAAAATTTGTCAAAATGCTAGCGAAAAAATAAGTTTTCATTTTTTTCGTGTTTGTATATGTATTGATCCGATTGTCTAGCCTTTTCGTCTGCTAAGAGCTACCTATCGTCTATCAGCTTTCGCAATATTAGAAACAAATTGCAATCTAAAATTACTAGCCCACGAACTTCAGAGCTGCCTCCTAGAATACGCTGTTTTTGCTGATATAAATATAGATTTGCTATTACAATTGCGGCTGAAAATCTTTCTGATTACCTAACACACCTTTAGTCTAAATATCTACTATCCATTATTAATGGAAAAATTCCCGCTCTGTGTATCGTCTTTAGTAGGCAGTCCTTTATCAGCAGTTAGTAGTTTCCTGCCGATTACCCCCCTAGAGCCAGCTGGAAAAAGCCCAGAAATGTTCAGTAAGCATCATTTCAATGAACACCCTATTCTATTTTGACTGGTCACCTGCTTCATCGCTTTGAACGTGCGACTGATCAACGAAGTGATGAAGCCAGTCACCTGAAAATTATTTAATCTAACGATAGATACTACAAAGTATTGAAGGAAGTCTCAATTAAATACCGGCCGATCAAGATGCCGCAGTGAGCCTGTGGGGAGTGGGGGAGAGGTAAGAATCGACAGCAGTTCTTCGGCATTCGCTGCCGTGCGTAGTCGGTAAATCGTATGACGTCTTGTCAATATATTACGTGGCCTTACTAAAAGAACCTGCCCGCCAAACACTATGG